ATATATATATATATTAGAATAATATTCATATAACTGAAATATAACAAATATTTCTGAGTAATTAATAGACCAAAATATCAGATTAATTTCATAGCTCATTTCAAATAGTCACGAAATGCCAACATGAATTAAGTACTAAATCTTTCATAAAAAGCATTTTTAATATGCATTTGTAAGGAGAAATATAATAAATACATTGAAGTAAAAAAATAAAAAAATTATGACTGAAAAAATTTATGTCTCCTAAATAATCAATATCATTGCGATTTCATTTTTCAAAAAACCTTGGCCTCCGAACAGCTCACGGTCAATAACGCTTTAAGGCAATAGACATTTTTGAATTCAATCGCCATTTTATGCCACATTTAACTTCCTGTGCTCTTAAAACATCTTCAGCAGACTTACTGTAGCGAAAATCTTCGGAATTCAGATGGAAATGAACAATTAATGTATAATTATTATTAATAATAATAAAAACTATTATTATTATTATTAATAAAAATAAAAATTATTATTATTTATAATAATAAAAATTATTAATAAAAATGAAATAAAATGATTAATTAATTAAAATGACTTATTAATTTTGAATTCAATCGCCATTTTATGCCACATTTCGTGTGCTGTTAAAACATCTTCAGCTGACTTACTGCCGCGAAAATCTTCGGAATTTAGAGGGAAGAAATGAACAATTAATTTATTATTATTATTAATAATAATAATAATTATTAGTAAAAATTAATTAAAATCATTAATTAATTAAAATGACTTACTAATTAATAATAATTCAATAACATAAAACATTGTTATTAATTATAGTTTTTAATTGTTCTTAAAGTTAAACGTAAGTTTTTATTAAATGGAGTAGAGTTAATAGCAAATTCTATAACAATTTATAAATAAAGAACATATGAATTTTAGCTTTCTTTTTCTTTTCTCATTCTAAAACGAAAAGTTATTGAAAACGAAACATAAAAGAAAACAAACTATCCTTACAATTTTTTTATTCGTTAATCGAGTTATTGCATACTGCATTAAGGATGTCATTTCTTAAACACCTTCACCTGGGTTTCAAAAATTTAAAAAAAAGGAAAATGAAATGCTTTTCTCATGGTAAATTTTTTTCCCTAATAATTTAATACAATAAAATTTTAGGCTTTTGAAAACTTTTCCCATTGTCTGACTGTGGGAATTAAACAAACTTAGCTTTCTTCAAACTATTTCTATTTTTGATGTCTATGATTTTCCTCAAAATTCATGAGTTGATCTTATAGCTCGCTTTTTTTTTAATAGGATTCTAGGTATTAAATGAAGGATACTTTTTCCCCAGTGAAGGCACCTTTGCATTGCTTAAGTTTTACCGAAACTCATTTTTTTCTTACTAGTATTAAAAATTCAATTTTCAATTTCAAACTATAAATTTCAATTTTAAATTTCATTTCTACAATTAAATTTTAAGTTAAAGTTTTAATTTTGAAATTCAATTTTAAATTTTAATTCTAATTTTAAAATTTAATGCTAAATGTAATTTTTAAGTTTAATTTTAAATTTCAATTTTAAATTCTAATCTTAAATTTTAATTTAAAATTTAAATTTTCAATCTTAATTTTAAAATTTGAATTTAAAGTGTGATTATAAATTTGACTTTTAGATTGAAATTTCATAGTTAATTTTTAAATATAAATTTCAAATTTTAATTTTAAACTTCAATTTTTAAAATCAAATCTTTAATTTAAATTTTTAAATTTAAATTTAATTTTCAAATTTTAATTTAAATATTATATAATTTAAAATTTTAATTTTATTTATAAATTTTAATTAAAATATTAATTCATTTAAAATTTCAGTTATATATATTAATTTTAAATTTCAGTTTTAATTTCAATTTAAAATTTTAATTTTAAATATCAATTTTAAATTTAGATTTTAATTTGAAATTTTCTTTTTTAATTTCATCTTGAAATTACAATTTTAAATTTCTATTCAATCTAGAAATCTATCGTGAGAATTTCGAAGTGGTCTACTAAACATTTAAATTTTTAAAATTTGTCGATGAAAATTTTATAATATATTATGAATGAAATAATTCTTCAATTGTTTTAAAAGAAAATAAAGAAAACAAGTTTTTTCTCCATATCCAAAACCATTTAACTCTTTAGCTTGAATAATATAAGGCTGTTTTATTAGAGTTATTTTGCACAATAGGTAAACAAACTTTTACTAACTACAACAAACTACTTCATAAAATAAAAATATACTATACTTAAAAGATAAACATACATTTCTTAATCTTAACTTTTATCTTTTTTTTTCTTTAAATTTATTACTTTTCTACCCAGTCAAATATTTTAACATTTAATACTTCGTTAAATTTTTAATTTTTATATATTCTGGTTTCATGCCTAATTGAGGACTAAAATCAATTCAAATTATATGATTTGATTTGGGATCAAAATTTTATAGGATTAATTTCTCGTGGAAAAGGTAAACATTGCGATAAACAATTTTCAGGTGATTTATTTTCGGGGGAATTTTGATATTAAAAAAAATGCGTCTTTCTTGCAAAAATTGGTACATTAAAAAAATTTTGTTTACTCCTATAACTTTACACATGTACATTCGAAATGCTTTTCATTTTTCATCTCTACTTAAAAATTGCAGGAGCTGCTGAGTTTTGCTGGAAGCCCTTCAAACAAGACTTCATCTTAGAAAAGTTTTACAGCTGTCAGTTTGTTTTCTATCACTTTAGAACAGTTAATTTTTACACTTTATTGATAGGAACAGAAGGTTCTGGAAGATAAGGTAAGACACATTCCAGCAATTGCAAATTCTCTCTGTCAAATACTGTTCTGTCCAATATAGAAAGCCTAGAGTCCAAGGGCACTCTAACCCAAATAATGTAGAAAATTCAATTTGCTAAGCATTCAAAATGTAAGTGCATTATGTTAAACTTATTTATGCTTGTTCTGAAAAAAGAAACAACAACATAAAACTATTCAGTAATTATGAAAAAAATTACAGAAAGAGATGCGTAAAAATGCTTTTTAAGAAAGGTATAGGAAGAAAATTTTAAAAGAAAACGTACTAAAAATGAAGGTCCATTGGAAAAATACTAAAGACATAAGTGTGCAGATGAAAATTTAGAAAATAATGAAAAGGTAATGTAATCAACTAATAAAAATAATCAATCTAACAGGCAACAGTGTTTTAATATCTGGCACTGAATTATCTGGAATAAACCATTTTATTCCATGTTGTTATTTTCACTGAAAAATTCACGTAGTAGAAAAAAAAATCACATAGTAATATTATAATATATGTTATCATTCCAACAATAAGTAATCTTCGTAAAAATAATAGCGTCATCTTCATTATTATAATTCCCAAAATTAGTTTAAAAAAGCATTTTTATCCTTGCTGTTAGGGAAATCTTCCAATTTTAAATACTTTTAGAAACCACATTTTTTCTAAGAAATTTAATTTTTGAAACCTAGAATTGATTTTAATACCCTTATGTTTCGCCTTATTTGAAGGTATTTTGAAAAATGATTTACAAGTGGTCAAATATGGATGGGTAACTGGTCCTGTAAATCAGTGCATGTCATTGACCATCGGATTCACTTTCCATTTAGATACATTGAAAGAAAGAAAAATAAATAAAATAAAATCCATCAGTAAAATCAGAACATAATAGAGGCGAATGCGTCCATTTATCGCCAATCAGAGAATGGAAGCTGATTTGAACTCAGCAGGGAAGGGGTGTACAGAAAGCCCATTCAGACTAATAACTAATTTGTGCGGATGATGCACTCACTATGTTATTTGTCAAGAGTACTTTTGCTAATCCTTGGGGAGCTCTTGGCTGCAGAAATAATTCGCCGGAAGCTTTCGCTCTGGATGCCAATCACGCTGATGAAGAGAGAATAGTATTGTCTGGCGATTTATTATATAGCTAATATTACTTTCCACGTTCTTTACGGGATTTTGCTTAGATCTATTATTCTCCAGAGATCACAAACTATGATTTTTGTCTGATTATTTCTGTAACTAGTAGTAAGCTAATTATTTATTTAAAGAAACATGCTCCCAAAGTGTTCTTATAGCAAGTATTTTTATCATACTCGTGACTATCACGTGGCAGTTTTAACATCGTCAAAATGACTGATCTTCCGTCAAACTGATCTTCTAAGGTACCATACCGATTTTAAATCCTAATGTGAGTTACCAACCAAAAAAAACCAACCAACTTTTTTCTTCTTTTTTTTCATATTTCTATTTATTAGTTCAGAGAAGGAATCACGGTTATCAACTTGTGTGTAAACCCCATCCACCAAAAATGACCGACAGTTTGGCGATCACTGTTCTAAAATTTTAATTATTAAATTAAATTGCGTCCCATGCTTTTGAGAAATCTGAAACTACTCCATTCAAAAATAAAATTATTCAGAGAAAAAAGGTTTTGGGTCTAATTCTGTATGTAATGACATGAAATCCCAATTAGTAGTTAAAATTCATATATCATCACTCATTGTTCCAATGTTCAAACTTTGAGTGGGAATTGTATTTACAGCACAAAACCAATTATACTAACTTTACCAAATAACTAAATATATCAAATAACTGAACCAAATAAACTTTATGAACACCCTATTCACACATATAAAATTCTGATTAATCCTTCTAACTTTCAGAGAAGTAATTAAAGTAAGAAAAATTAGATAAGCTAGATGAATGAGTGGTCTAAGATGTTTCATAAAAACTTATTAAATTATATTCCGTTTGATCATTCAAGTTTTGAAAGGAAATCAGTCCCACACACAAAAAATTATTATTTATTAATTTAATTATACTTCGATTATTCTTGCAAGTTTTGTAAGGAAATCAGTGCCACAATAATTTATTATTTATTAATTTAATTATATTCCGATTGATCACTCAAGTTTTGTCAGGAAATCTGTCCCACAATAAATTATTATTTGTTAATTTAATTACATTCCGATTGTTCATGCAAATTTTGTAAGGATCTGACCCACAATAATTTATTATTTATTAATTTAATTATATTCCGATTGTCCATGTAAGTTTTGTAAAGAAATCGGTCCCACAATAAATTATTATTTATTAATTTAATTATATTCCGATTGTTCATGCAAGTTTTGTAAGGAAATCGGTCCCACAATGAATTATTATTTATTAATTTAATTATATTCCGATTGATCATTCAAGTTTTGTTAGGAAATAGGTCCCACAATAATTTATTATTTATTAATTTAATTATATTCCGATTGTTCATGCAAGTTTTGTAAGGAAATCGGTCCCACAATGAATTATTATTTATTAATTTAATTATATTCCGATTGATCATTCAAGTTTTGTTAGGAAATAGGTCCCACAATAATTTATTATTTATTAATTTAATTATATTCCGATTGTTCATGCAAGTTTTGTAAGGAAATCGGTCCCACAATGAATTATTATTTATTAATTTAATTATATTCCGATTGATCATTCAAGTTTTGTTAGGAAATAGGTCCCACAATAATTTATTATTTATTAATTTAATTATATTCCGATTGTTCATGCAAGTTTTGTAAGGAAATCGGTCCCACAATGAATTATTATTTATTAATTTAATTATATTCCGATTGATCATTCAAGTTTTGTTAGGAAATAGGTCCCACAATAATTTATTATTTATTAATTTAATTATATTCCGATTGTTCATGCAAGTTTTGTAAGGAAATCGGTCCCACAATGAATTANTATTTTTATTTTATTTAAACGACTTAAAACTCCTCATGCACCACAAAGTATAGCATGAGGCTTACAGTTGTAAGTAAAAAACAAAAGGAGAAAAATTTACAAATTTACATTAGAAACAAAATTCCGCAAGGCCGCAAGATTTTCAATACTTTTGACCAGTTCTGAATTAACTTACTTTTGAACACTTACTTTTTAAAAGTAAGTGTTCAAATTCTGAAGTTTTCCAATGCTGTAATCCGACGTACTAAAACGCACTCTTCAGCACGTCAGAGGGCATTACAGAATATTGCAGCGTTTGTAGATTCTTATTCTTTTTATTTTAAAAAGAGGACAAACAAATGGGAGAAAATTGTTCTAAAGAAAATATCCTGGAGAATTATTAACTACTAAGATTGTGTTTATTCGAAGCATTTCGTCTGTGTGGCTTTAACCGACACTTTGTACTTGTCACCCCTTTCTTTCATAAGTTTTTTGTAAGCTAATTATCTTTCAAAAGTTTTTCGTATTTCTTATTGTCAATAATTTCTAATTTATTTGCTTATTTAACTAAGCAAATACAGTAAAGCTAGTGCACAGATAATATGAACGCAGGTTTACCGGATTGCCAAATTATCCGGATCGTTCAAGAACCATGTGTTTTTACCACCTTCTTCAAGAGCAAATGACTTCTCTTGTCCTTCGGTGACCTTGAAAAAATCACATTCTTTTCGCCCAATTTCAAGTAGTTTCTAATAAGGGAACAGATTTCTAATAAAATTTCTAAAAAAAATTAAATCTTTTAAACACGTCTTTTGTAAAATAACATAGGCTCTTTAACAATTGCTAATTCTAAAACTTGAAAAAGTGTGAAGAGAAGTTACTTAAAAATGTTCCCATAGCCTATTTTTGTAAACTTGTCCGATTATCCGTTTTGTAAAGTTTTCGTTATCCGGATCGATTTTCTTCCTGATTGGTCCAGATAATCGACGCTCTACTGCATACTTATTTTCCGTTTCCCAATATACCAGAGTGGCCATAAACAACAATTCTCGATTTTATTTTTAAGACAAATTAAAATAATTTAAAAGTCAACTAAATATATTTTATATTTTTAGAATTTAATTACACATCGAATATATTTTAGATACTCACGAAGACACAAAAATTCAGAAATTCTGTCCAAATGCTCTAGGAACGTCGCTGATCTTAAGAAGTCGTTATAACACGGAAGAAACTTTTCGTGGCAAATTCTTCTTCCAGAATCTAGACCATTGGTATTTTAAAATTTAAAGTTTAGAAGAAAGTTAGTTCAGGCAAACCTCAACCATAAAATTTTAAATGCTAAAATTTTTTTTTCTTCAAAATATAAAAATGTAAGCATATTAATACATGATATCTTCCTCTCTGCGTAATCCTAAAAAATCCCGGAATAATTTATTCGGATTTTGATATTTATAAAAAAAAATTTGCATTTGACATTCATGGTTTACTTTAGGTTTAAATGAACTCACTTTTTCTATATATTTAAAATTACTTCTGTAGATGTAAGAGGATTCGCCATGAAGGATTTCGTCCGTGGTATAGCATCCTTTTAACCATCTCGAAAAAAGAAAGAAATCAAATATTGGACACAGATCAAAACTAAAAATCTTTGGAAGTCGTAAAATAAGCAATTAAGAAAGGACCAAAATTTTCTATAAGCGGAAGTAATCTATTATTACCAATCCATTTTTCGTCGAACTCCGAAAGAATTTCATCAATTGTCGTCTGGTTTCCGGTGATATTTACAGCATCATCTTCAATCGACAGAACATCCAAATACGTTCTTTTGTGACACATATTACTTTAATTAGAGTTCTAAACTTCCAGAAAGTGAAAGATGACGAAGAATTCAGGTAGCTATCGAAGTGGAACAGACAGAAAATCATTCGTTTTTCTTGCAGCGGTTTCTCTTGACCAACGATGCGGCAGAACGTTCTTCCTCAGGTTCAAGGCTTCAATTCTCCGTATTATTATTATTACAATTATTATTTCCATAATACTTGGACGTCTTATTACGAATGAGAAAAGAGTGATATAGCGATGCCTCGTTACATTTTGTCACATTTGTGACTTATTTTCGCGAATTTGTACGGGCGGTGTCCTATTCGAAAATCGAGACGGTTTGTTCTTCGGAAGGGTTGATTTTCACGCTTTGCTAAAAGGTGAAAATGTCTTTTTTTATGCGTGGAAAGGAATTTGCGAGTCGTCTTGTCACTTTTACTTCACCTTTCGTGA